GGGATCCTCAGCGTCCAAAATCTTGCGCAGCCACGCGAGTCTTTCATCGGCGTCATCTGGAAGATCGATCGCAGCGCCCGATGTAATTGGTAGCGGGCGCGTCATAGCGTGCGGGTACATTTGTCCCGAGCCCTAATAGCTAACTCTAGAAATCGTACAAATAATAAAATTGCGAAAACAATGCAAAAAAAAAGAGCAAAAACCAATGCAAAGGAAAATGCAAACCGACCTTTAAAAAAGCAAAAAAAGCAAACAGCCAACCGGAAAATGCAACAGAAAAAGCAAATAAAATGCAACAGAAAAAGCAAATAAAATGCAACTCCAAGAAATTAAAATGCAAAAAAAGCAACAGGAAAAGCAACAAAAAAGCAAAAGAAAAAGGAGAAATAAAGCAAAGCAAAAAGCAAAGCAAAATGCAAAAACAACCAAGCCAAGCAGTATGGACTCCCAAAAAAGGCACCAAAAATGCAAAAACAAAGCAAAACCCAAGAAGAGCCCACAGAAACTGCAAAATATAAGCAAGACCAGCAAGAAGCAAGATAATAGATACAACAAGCAGTAAATTTGCAGCAAATTGCTTCAAAATGAAAGCGACCTGAAAGCAGCTGGCAAGCAAAAGTGCGATGAGCAGCAAGTGATAAGCAAAATGAAAGCAAAACAGGGGCCCAACCGAAGGGCCAAGAAAGGCAGGATAACACACAGAACGCGCAACAAAAGCAGAATAAAATAGTATAGCTACTATAGGATAAGATGGAATAGAAGGCAGTTTGAGGCAGCGCACAGGCAATGTGTCAGCACAGGTAGAGAAGCCAAGAAGGAAACACAGCAAGCCATAAGTGAGCCAAAGAATATTTTGAAAGCCATTCCGAGCACTACCAAACCAGCAAGCGGAGCAACAGAAAAAAACTCACCGCAAAAAGTACAAAAGGGGAAGCAGAGTATATTGCACGACAAGAGGAAAAGAAAAAGACAGGCAAAATAACATCGGCATAGTGGCATATTGGAGCGCATCGACACAGAAATGAAAAAACATCTCTGGTTTCTGCGACGTTATGCAAGTCACAGACCATAGGTTCGTACGCCCAATTCGAACGCAGCGTCAAATCATAGTCGGGTTTAGGGTTTAGGGTTAAGGGTCCAGGGTTCAGGGTTTAGGGTTCAGGGTTTAGGGTTCAGGGTTTAGGGTTTAAGGTTTAGGGAGTTTAGGGCATATATGACCATAACTTGGGACTAGATCTGTAAACAGCCTTCAAGCCCTGTCGTGGAGCAAGCCTTGGGTCGAGCTTGTGCGCCCATTACTTATTTCTATCATTGTCATGGGCGAATCGGCGCATGACAATTTCTCCCAAATGTGACGCTCCTGCTTTGCGAGACCGTGGCAACTTCACAGCCTGGGTCATGAGCATCTCCAGAATACCCCACAGCCCAAACCCAACACTGCCCAGCACAGCCCCAAATTCCCAAACAGGCTAAATGGACAAAACTTTGCAGCTTTTGCGCACTTTCTAGGCATGATGGAATCTATCTGCCAGCCATGACTGACCATAGTGGCTTCATATCGGGGATAGAGCGCGAAAGTAGTTTGAACAGGATTTGCTCCTTCAGTTCCCATGCATGTCAGAATAAAAATGGAAGATATGGTTCAAAATCAATTCTTTTGGAAAACAGAACCTCTGCAGCAAAGCATCATTTTTTGGTGAATACGCACTATGACACTATGACAAATTGATGGCCCAAAGGTCAAAAGCTGTACCGTACCCACAACACTCTGTTGGACTCTTCTATTCAATATTGCCTATTGAGTCTTCATTTCAATTCAGATTCAGCTCCAGTATGCTTTGAAATCTGTTAAAGCCCTCCTGTATTCTTCAAGACAACAACAAAGCACAGGAATGCGACACCCATCTCCATCTCACATACAAACGCTGAACTGATTTCGGTAATGAGGAAAAGCTGCTCAAGAATTGTTTGTCATACGCCAGCATGTTCAGAATACTCCATACTCCATACTCAATATTCTATTCAACATACCTAATATCGTTGATATCGGAAATTTGGCGAAAATCTCACGCATTTTCCTTTCGGACACATCTGCAAGGTGAGGAGGTCCTTGCCTAGCCGGGCCAAGCCCTATAGGATGGGAGAACTGAACATGACAACTCCAGACTCTGCATCTGCTGGCAGAATCCGAATCGCTTAATCTGATCATGAATGATTTGCTGCCAACACGCCTCATGGACACAATTGCTAACAAATTTCAAGCTAACTGCTACCTGTTGCTAACTGCCTTTCAGTAAGGGGACTGATTCGATTACTGAAGTTGATATCCTGGGTCTACACTCTACACATTGTGGCCTGAGGTTCGCATTGAAAGCTGAAAACTTTGTTTGGAGCATGAGGCATCGAGCCATCCAGGCCGAGAAACTCAGTCTAAGTCTGAGGCTGGGTATGCGTCACGATGGAGGTTTGCAAATGACAGCGCACCTGAAACCTAAAAGCGTCTTGGATTGCCATCCACAACAGTGAGTTTTGGGCCTTCAGGACTCACCCCAACACTGATGCTTGCAGACAGTCTTCAAGACTGGCTGTGAAAATTAAATCACTTGCGCGGCAAGAGCGACTTGGCCGCTGCCAAAAGCGCCTCATGAATGTTCTCTTCAGTGATGCCTACCTGCCAGTGGTTGCCCGCCAGGAATGCGATCTCTTTGCGAACCAGCTTGACTGCTTCGCTCTGATTGCTCTCCAAGACAGCGCTTGCAAGCACACCCTCACAACGGAAGATGTAGCCACACCTGAGATCACACCCCAAACAATCACTCATCTTCTGAATGTCCTGGGAAAGAGCCTTCATGCCCGGCATGGACACGATGCTTGTCAGCCTCTTTCTCCAAGACGTGATCCGGGTGTTCACCTGCATTATGGGTCAAGGGCCACAGTTCAACTTTCTGGGTTTAAAAAATCACATTTTTCGGAGGTCTTGCGTTGCGGTTCACTTTGAAAACAGAAGGTCAGCAGGAAAGATTGAACGCAAGTCTCAATTCTCAGTCTTGGGCAAAACCACCAAAAAGCCACCAACACAGTGCAATGTAAACGCCTTCGGCGACTGAACCACCTGGAAAGAATGCCTTAGTTTGGCTGGTGTTGTGGCCTCCTTGAGCGAATCCAGCGTGCCTTGCAAACCTGAAACGTCGAAGTCCAGCTTTGATGATGCGCACTTCTTGACATCGGCAATGGGGCTGTCTTTCTTCAGCTCCGCAGTCCACGTCTTGTCTGGGAGGTGCAAGCCACAAGTAATATCTGACAACCTGTCTACACCCTTGTCCACCTGCTGGTCAAGATCACTGACAATCATACGCACCGACTCCAATACATCCTCTGGGACATTGAAGGGCTTCTCCAAGGTGCACAGCTCGACCTCCTTGAGCTTGGAAAACTCAACCGGGTCCGTCCCTGACAAAGCAGCTGTGACTGTTGAGGCTTTTTCCCGTGCACCTGCAAGTTGCTCCAACTGCTTCAGGTACCCAAAGATGGCTCCGCACTTCACATCGTTTTTCACACGGGCCTCGGCATCAGACCCCAACTTGCGATACTTCTCCAATTGCTTCAACACATGGCAGCCCTCCTGCATGTACTGGACCTGGTACTTGATGGCATTGGCTACCTTCTGCGTGAAAGCAAGACCAGAAGCTTTCTCCAAGTTGACAAAGACCGGGAATGACAAGCGCTGCATGTTGGAGGCCTCCGGGTAAAGCAGTTGCTGCATTCATTACTCACTACTGCTACTGCGCCTTCACAAAACCCGACAAGGATGTTAGTAACGGTAACGAATGGGAAGTCTTGGCCAGTCGGCCAGTCTCGCCTACCCAACCCCGCCCATACACTCATGACTACAACTAAGACTCTAGATATGTATAATGTATGCTTATCGTTTGTTTTTGTGGACCCACCTTACCCTACAACCCCAACAAATCTTGCGCCTGGTTGTAAACCTTGGCAAACATGGCCCAAACAAGACTTTGCATGGCGCACTTGGCTTCGTCACCCGGTTGCGAAGACTTGTTGCCGCTGCCGCCGAAACCATCAAGGAGTTTCTTGAAGGCGTCCAGGGGGATATCCGCATCCTCATTTCCAAGCTCTGAGTTGATCTTGTCAGTCAACGCAGCAATTTCCTTCATGTTCAAGGTTGCCGCCATGCTTGCCTGCCACTTGAGAAACTTCTGCTTCAGATCCCAAGATGCTTGCTCGGCGCAAAGAGGTCCAGCACCTTCATGATCACCTGGATGTTGGCAGCGTCTGTCTCTGAGACATCCTCCTGTCCGCAAAGCTTCTCCACACACTGCTGGGTTTTCTTCACCAAGATCTCCTCCAGAGACGCTGTAGCCCCACGGCGAAGTCCACCTGCAATGTCTTTGAAGGAATGCACGGCGTCCACGAAGTGCTCATTCAAGCTGCCATCCTCATCGGTGCCAGCAAGTTTCGTCGTGAGATCTTTGAGCCTGTCACCCAACTTCATGCTGCTAGTACCCATGGCTAGGACCTCATCGATCTTCCCTTGCCAAAACTCACTATCTTGAAGGAACATCTGAAGGGCTGCCATGAAGTCTTCAGCGTCTGAAGTCGTTGCATCCTTGCGAGCGCTCTTGGCCATAGACTCATAGCTCACAACTTGCGCCACATCACTTGGGCTTGCGCCCATGTAGCCTGGTGTTGGCACAAGAAGAACGAGCAACGCGCTCAGAGCCTTCTTGATAAGCAGCATCGCTTCCTTGGCAGCCCGGTTCATGTCCAAGTTCTCAACATCAGCTGCTGAGACGAGCCCCAGGAACTTCTCTGCGATGATCTGGATGTGCTTGTGGAGCTTAGGGCTCTCGAGCATCGCAAAGAACTCATTGCAACCAAAGCTGCTCAGGATCTGGGCTGTCAGGGCCTGCCAGGGGAAAGCATACACTGGCATACACAGGCCTATGATTTGGGAGCCTTCTGACAACTTCCCACGTACTGCTCTAGCTGAATGGTTGCGGGCATGGACAACTAGGGTTGGAGTTAGCTAGAATTAGTCAACTAGTCTCTAAATTATCGCAAAATGTCTTTGATTACTTCCTAATCAATACTTCCATGGCCTGGGACTGTGAGTCTAAATAACTCACCTGCCACAACATCGACCTCACTCATTTACACTATATGGTTATGGCACTACGGCTGCGGTCTGAAGTCTACACTCTACACACTAGGTTACCAGGATGGCTGTCCCAAGGAGGTCTCAAGGCCTTAGGCATCACTGCTCAGAAGTCAACAAACAACAAGGCCCAAGGCAAAACTGGCTGAGCCTCCCCTCGCGCCGCAAGCTCCATCTCGCTGCTTTGCTCCGTGTCCTCCTCCATGGCGTTGATGTCATCGTCCAGCTCGGCTGCCAAGGCATTGAAGTTGGTGTTCTCAGCGGACCAGTCATTGGTGCTTGCCTCCTTGTCATCTGGATCAGCCGAGGGCGCATCACGCTTCCAGCAGGTGATCTGCTGCATGAGCTTGTCCACTAGTTTGTGGATATCCTGCAAATTGCAAAGCAAAAGATGAAAAGAACATCGAATGAGTTGCCATGGGTGTTACTTTGTTACAACGACCTCCTAGCTCTGTCAAGCTGTTAAGCCAGCCAGTTCAGCACCCAATTTCCTCCCATTTCACAATCTGTCACGCTGGAATTCCTCGGAGCTCACACAGCAAACCTGAAGAAGATCATGTGTAACAGTTGCTAACCACTACCGCCACTACCGCACTACCCAATGACTCCCAAATTCGCAAGGTACTGTACATTTCAGTTCAGAGCTTTACTCACTTCAAAAGGCATAGAACATGCCATCAGTGGGGTGGCTGGATGTGCCTTCTCCACACCAGTGCTGCCAATCTCTTGCAGCGTCTGCGACACTGCCGTCCCCGTGATGCTGAGTCTGAGTCCCCAAGGCAGCACGCATTGGCCCTCCAGAAGCTTCAGCACCGAATTGCGAATCTCCCTCCAGCTCAGCGACTCAAAATTATTCACCAGGCCATTGGCCAACTCGCACAAGTCCAATTGCTTCTGCAAGAACTTGTACTGGAATTTCTTCTGGTCCTTCATGTCATCGCACACTCGCTTTGCCTGGAAAAAGACAGGTTGTCCATGGAAGTCTGGGGCCAATTGCGCGGGGCAAGCGCAGTGGATAGGCCCTAATTATTGCTCTGGGGGAAGAAATGGGGACAGCATGGATGCAGTCATCAAGGTGTTTTCGGATAACGCCTGAAAGCTTACTTAAGCTCTATGCGCAGGGCCCAGGGCCAGCTCAAGGAAAGGAGTGAGGATGGGGCACAGAAAGAGCATGCAGGGGGAAACAATAAACACTCAATGGCTCAATAGCTAATGTTGATTGCCAAATGGTCAGGTCCACAGTGAGAAGTATGATGAATTTCTATAAGTCCAAGGAACGGCATCTACACTCCGTATGAGACGTTCTCCGTTGAGAATCCGATCAATGTGCAAGTTGGCGAAACACTTGGGCGTGACTTCGAGAGCGCTGGCCACGGATTGGAGCACAACAGGTATGCATGCATCGTCTTCCAGAGCAGCAACTTCCGACTCCCTGTTCTTGGCAGAGTTGGCACCAGAGTCCCTTTTGGGGACTCCCTTGGCACTCAGTGGCCCCTTCCGCCTCTTGATCGCAGTTGCCTGGACCTTGCCGAGGCGCCCAGAGGAGTGCTGACGCACCTTCTTGCCACCCTCAGAGTCTGAGCTCTCTTTCTCAGCCCCCTGGTCCGACTTCTCAACAACCTTGCCGGCCTTCAACATAGCCTTTTCAATCTTCCCCTTGAAGTCTTGCATGGACTTGATGTTGGCCAAACCCTTGTCAGACTGCAACACCTGAGGCCGATTATCCAGCTGATCGATGTAGTGGTACCGGTGAACAACACGCCCCTGACCTTCCAGCAGCTGTTTTGCAGCACTCAGAAGGACATCTTCCTTGCTCAAACCAAATGCGTACGACACACGGAGCCTGCGCATCGCATGTATCCGGTCACAGGTAAGCCCATCAAGTGTCACGATGAAGTAATTCTTGTCCGCCTCACCTCCTAGACAGCTGGGCAATTGCACCATCTCAGCCTTCACAAGCGAGCCCGTCAGCCCGGACATGGCATCGAAGGACGATTTGCCACAGATGTGGCACTTTTTCAGAGCCTGGCTTTTGCCTCTTGATGCCCTGCTGCGTCTGCTTGCGGCCTGGCTGGTCGCATCGGCCAAGTCCTCATCATCATCCTTGCTTGCCCTGGCCCGCTTTGGCGTGGGCTCTTCCTCACAAAATGAAAAAAGGCACATGGCACATGTCAAATGCCTGGGATCTGGGACTGGCACAAGCTCTGAATAGAATAGAACAGAATAGAATACAATAGAATAGAATTGAATAGAATACAATAATCAATTTGAATAACTGATGCGAATATCCGGCTGAAATGGAATTCAGAAATTCGGATTTAGCCACAGACATGGTTATGAATTCCTTTCACACTGAAACCAGGTCCTGCTGCTTGCCAGTCTGACGGCGATTCACCATGGTCACTGATAAAGCAGCAAGACTTAGGCAGGCGAGGATGGCAGTCAACAGTCACCAGAAAGAACTTCACAGCTCCCCAAAGCAGTCCACATCACTGCTGCTGGTGCGCAAGGCAATGAATGTCTCCCACACAAGTTCAGCACACAGCACTGGAGAAAGACAGAGACAGAAGTGGCTAATTGTTTGTCCTTTGCAATCATGCTGCCACTACTACTCTCCAAGTAGCATCTACTGAGTTTACTGCATCTAGTGTAATGTACAGGTACACTGCGCCATGGGCTTCACACGGTGCGTCCTGGACCACTGGACATTCGCATGAGCCGCACAAGGCCATGACCCTCCAAAAGCAAAAAACGCATGGCATGGGCGCAGAGCGATTGATGTCACTCGCCACTCGTCCTACACACTGTCTTGCACCTCACGCATTGGAGTATTTATACGCCATACGTGGTGGGCCCCCCGACATGCTAACACTGCTGCACTGCCATGGCAACTCTGATAGGCCCTAGTGGCCCAAAGAAAGTAGAGGCCAATGATTCGGCCAATGGAATCAAAATGGCCTGGCCTAGTGCTGAGCGCAAGAAAACAGCCAACACAACCTTCATAATTTTCTGGAGTTCTGGAGTACAATAATAACAGGAGCCCCTGTCGCTACAAAGACCTCGGGATGCTGTGCAAAATTGTCCTCATCTAAACTAAACCCAAACTAAACTTGGGACCTAGCATCTAGAATCTAGACTTAACCTAGGGCCTAGTTACCAATTACATATTAGTTGTTTCCAATGACAATCCACACGCTCAGTCACTTCCAAACAACTGACGAATTGGATCACACAATGCCCACCATGCTGGGGCGGAACCTCAGGAGCGACTGAGAAAGTCAACCCCATTTCTACGATTGCAGGCCAGCAGAGATCTGGCCCATGGTCTGCTGAATTATCAAGGAATCAAGGCATCCTGCTGCTGTGGCTCCTGGAATGCCACACGAAGTGACAAGATGCACAGCATCAACATTGTCCGCATTTCAGAATTTCACATGAAGCTACTCCGGAAATTGCCGTGTCAGATACAGACACCAAATCACACTGGAGAGGGAAGGGATGCTCATCCCTTCCCCCGCCAACTCTCTGACTACAGATTCCGGTACATCCGGAGGGATGATGAAATCTTTCGGCTGGCCGTGAAGGGCCAACATCTCTCGGCCACTCAAGACACAGTCACGTGTAAAATCATACAACACACTTGACGTTGTCAAAGCGTGGTTGCAGCCATTCGCATTCGTATGGGCATGCCTGTTCAAGCTTTGGCTGACGTCCATGAACTTGCCCTGCATCAAATCCTCCACATCACCCCTTTCACAATCAACATTCTGCAAGAGAAGCGTCTCCTGCTTCTTCAATTCGGCTGCCACATAACAGTCAAGAAGGTCCAAGACTCTTGGTGAGCGATTCAAACCCACACCACGAAAGGCACGGCAACTTGTCCATGGCCTGAAGTTTTCAACCACCCCAATCTTGCGCCGGAACATTTTCGAATCCATCCGCCATTGCTGCTGCTTAGCCTTGGCCACCAGCTACCAGGAGCTACCATGCTCATAACTTTGAATCCACTTGATTCATGCCACAATAAAGGAAGGCCAGCTGTTTTGTCAAATGGAACCCAGAAAAAAAAACCATGGCCTAACAAGACCCCCATGAAACTTGAGTTGCAGGGGTTTTGGTTAGCAGCAAGGGGGCGCCCAGCTCCCAAAATTTTCCAAAAATTTTGGGGCCCGGGTCGTCTAAAAAGGATGGGCGGATGAGGGGCGCCCAGCTCCCAAAATTTTCCGAAAATTTTGGGGCCCGGGTCGTCCAGCATCCCCTGTTGCTTTTTTTAAATGGCTTGCTGGAACACTCCCTTTTTCGGCCCATTTTTGGGCCCCATTATTTTCTCATTATTTTTGCTTTTTCGGGGCCATGGTTTGCTTTTTCTCCGCCCATTGAACCCATTTCTGCTTGCTTTATTTTTGCTTTATTTTTGCTTTTTTCCCCCTTTTTTGGGTCCATTGTTTTTGCATTGGTTGCTGC